GGACCAACCACAACCAACAGGATTAACTGTGGACAAGAGGAAGCTGTCTCAAAGGGATGTTATGGTCTAAAACCAGGTGTTTGTTTCATTGTCTAATCCCTGTAAGTCTGCAGGTAAAGCACATCTTGTTTCATTTGAAATTCATAGCGGTGTTTACGGCCAAAAGGACGAGAACTGTGCTGATGTTCCAATATTTATGGGTTTGATTGTAGGTACAACTGTAGCTTCAGTTTTAATGTATGACCCTGTTTTTTAGATGTTCTAAAGAGAGTCAGAGAACAGAGATAATTTTAGCTCAAGTCCTCAACCATCCAATCAGATCACCCACCTCAATGTGTTAATACAACTACACCCACTTGCTGAACATTTCTGAGTGATGGTGCCTTGATCCTGCAGCAGGCTCAGCTTCAGGAGACAGTCCTGGTCCTGGTACCCTTAAAACCCAACAACTGAACATTTCTCCTTGGTGGTCTGATAAACAGGAACATCCTGCAGCTCGTGAAGTGTTTTTTTAAAAGCAGTAACTGTTGAAAGTATGAAACACGAATATTTTATTGATTCTTAATGTTTAAATCACATGTGCAGGGCCAGAGTTTAAATCTTGTCTTGGATCCTGGAGTAAAACATGTCCAACATGATGAAACTCTGTACAAACGGGTCTTTCATGACTGATGGTGTATTCTTTATTTGATTATTGCAGTTAAATGCTGAGTGATCAGTATGCCATTTTTCTTTATAACAGTGAGAATATACGGCAGTTATTGCCTTAGCTCAAACAGCAGAAAAAAACTTTTATATAAGCTGAAGTTGATACTTTAACATATTTTGTATATGTTTAAATGTTGACTGTTTTCTTCAGGTTTTATTTAGTTTACATGAACACTAAAAACATGAGAACTTCACCACTCAGCTCCACAAGCCTCTAGTAAAAACAGACTACAAAGAAGAGGGTTTTTTTCTAAGATACGTACAGAACCAATTTTCATTGTGTCATTGTGAAAAAAATAAAATAAAATAAAACACCACCACACATTTAAGATCATAAAAAAGTTAGAATTGTGCAGAACTTCAAAATCTGTCCCCTTAGTGGTTTTAAAAATTGATTGCTGGGGAATCAAAAGCTGAAAACTGTGTCAGGTTTGGCCCCTTCACGCCAACGGGGAAACCTCACAGTGTGGAAAACCAACGCCTGGTTTATCCACTTCAGAAACTCTCCAGACTGAAGTTTTATTCTGAAACCTGGGTTCCAGTCGAAGCCTTGCCTTCTTTTTACGGCTGACGTGGTAAAGCGAGTAGACC